GGCCCGGCGGCACCTCGGGCGGGCGCCTTATTGGTGTCAGGCAGGGCAGCGGTGGCGGCGGAGTGGCAGAGCGCCGGCTGCCCACTCGGGATTTAATCTCTCTGTTTTCTGTTTTGATGTCAGATTCATTAAGGCTTTTATGCTAATCGCTTTTGTGTCCGAGGCATGGAAAGCCTCCCTGCGGCCTCTGAGGGTGGGGGGCTTTCTCGAGTGGGTTCCTAGAAAGGTCACGCCATGTTGACATCAAGAATAGCCTGATTGATGGAGGCATCAAGTCCATCATCTACCACATGCCAGTCCTATGGCAGCATAGTATAGGCCAGAGGGGGTCTCCCACCCTCGGGTTCAGTGGTCCTCAACCTTCCTAATGCCGCGACCCCTTAATACCCTCATGCCGTGGTGACCCCCAACCCTAAAATTATTTCCGTTGCTACTTTAACGGGAATTTTGCTAACGTTACAAATAGTCATGTAAATTTCTGATAGGCAGGATGCATTTTCATTCTCTGGATCTTGGAAGTTGTAGTTGCTGGGATTTATAGTTCCTACAATCAAAGAGCATTCTGAACTCCACCAGAGATGGAATTGACCCATATATATATATAGAGAGAGAGAGAGAGAGTATTTATTTACTATAGTAAAGAATAGTAAATATAGTAAAGTATAGTAAATAAGTATAGTAAGTAAGTAATTAAATAAATAAGATCCATCTTTGCCACGGCGTTTTATTTATTTACTACAGTATATATAGTATTTATTTACTATAGTAAAGTATAGTAAATAAATAAATATAGTAAACTATAGTAAGTAAATAAATAAATAAGATCTGTCTTTGCCACAGCGTTTTATTTATTTACTATAGTATTTATATATATATAGTATTTATTTACTATAGTAAAGAATAGTAAATAAACAAATATAGTAAAGTATAGTTAATAAGTATAGTAAGTAAATAAATAAGATCCATCTTTGCCACAGCGTTTTATTTATTTACTATAGTATATATATATAGAGAGAGAGAGAGAGAGAGTTTATTTACTATAGTAAAGAAATAAATATAGTATAGTAAATAAGTATTTATTTATTTATTTCAGTTACTTATACCCCGCCCTTCTCATCCCCGGGGGGGGGGGGGCTCAGGGCGGCTTACAAATGGAGGCACAATTCGATGCCCATCAATTATACAAGCATACATAAAAACAATTTTAACAGATTAACAGATTAAAAACATCAATACACAATATAATAGTAAACAATCTCATGCTCAGTGTTCAGTTCCGAATGTCTGAATGACAAAAGGGAGGTCGCTGATCTAATCACCCCTGGGAGTGAGTTCCACAGGTGAGGGGCCACCACCGAGAAGGTGGTAAGTAAATAAAGGTAGTAAGTAAATAAATAAATGAGATCCATTTTTGCCACAGCGTTTCGTGAATGACTTGCAGCAGAGTGCTATTCTGCTTGCGTTACATAGTCCTGGACCTCTCTGGAGCACAATGGATGTGGAACACAGTTGAATGTTTGGACAGTGTTGGATGGGGGTTACACTCTTTCTGAAATCTCAAGTTCGCAGTTTGGGAGTGATCCTGAACTCATTGCTGAGCCTGGAACCTCAGGTTTCATTGGTGAAAGCCAGGGGAGCTTTCACACAAAGCTGGTGCACCAGTTGTGCCTATACCTTAGGGGAGTCAGACTTGGCCACGGTGGTCCATTATCTGGTTCCGTCCTGAATAGACTACCACAACGCACTCTACGTGGGGTTGCCTTTGAAGACTGTTAGTTTAGAAGGAAAATCGAGACCTGGTGATGGGACCAAGCGTTGGATCACTGAACAGCAAGTGGAAGAAGATCACACAACTTAGGGCAATGAATTGACCTGGACTGGTTTTTGGATTGGGATGTTAATGGATGTGTCTTAATTAATTGTTTTAATTGTTGTTTTAATTTTTAATATTTTGATTGTACTATAGTAGCATCGTATGATGCTTTTGTTAGGCCGCCCTGAGTCCCCTTTCCAGGGGAGAAGGGCGGGGTATAAATATAGGAAATAAGTAAATAAAATAAATAATATTTGTATTTTATTTTAAGAGGACGAGATGTATGTGATGTTTGCTCTGTCTGTTTTTTGATAAGGCCAACTGGCTAATCAATAAAAATTCTTATTATGATTCATAACAGTAGCAAAATTGCAGTTACGAAGGAGCAACAAAAATAATTGTATGGTTGGTGGTCACTACAACATGGGGAAATGGATTATATTTATTTGTCGTGTCAGGGCAACCAGTCAATTGTATTACATTTCTAACAGAACAAAACAAAAAAACAGGCAAAACACAAAATTTGTGAGTTTGGTAGTTGATGAGATGTCCTTTGACCAGTCTCTGTCCCCGTGGAGTGCCTCTGGTGTTCCCGCAAGGAGGTCCTCCCTTGTGCATCATGTGGCAGGGCTCAGGTTGCATTGCAGCAGGTGGTCAGTGGTTTGCTCTTCTCCACACTCGCATGTCGTGGATTCCACTTTGTGGCCCCATTTCTGAAGGTTGGCTCTGCATCTCGTGGTGCCAGCGCAGTCTGTTCAGCGCCTTCCAAGTCGCCCCGTCTTCTGTGTGCCCAGGGGGGGAGTCTCTCATTTATTATCAATTCTGGGTTTGAGCCTGCCACTTTTGGACTCTCGCTTGCTGAGGTGTTCCAGCGAGTGTCTCTGTAGATCTTAGAAAACTATTTCTTGATTTAAGTCGTTGACGTGCTGGCTGATACCCAAACAGGGGATGAGCTGGAGATGTCTCTGCCTTGGTCTTTCACTATTGGCTGCTATTTCCCGGCGGATGTCAGGTGGTGCAATACCGGCTAAGCAGTGTAATTTCTCCAGTGGTGTAGGGCGCAGACACCCCGTGATAATGCGGCATGTCTCATTAAGAACCACATCCACTGTTTGAGCGTGGTGAGATGTGTTCCACACTGGGCATGCGTACTCAGCAGCAGAGTAGAACAGCGCAAGGGCAGATGTCTTCACTGTATCTGGTTGTGATCCCCAGGTTGTGCCAGTCAGCTTTCGTATGATATTGTTTCTAGCACCCACTTTTTGCTTGATGTTCAGGCAGTGCTTCTTGTAGGTAAGAACACGGTCCAGAGGGACTCCTCCCAGGTATTTGGGTGCGCTGCAATTCTTTCCCAGGGAATAATCCTCAGAGCTCGGGATGCTTGTCTGTTCTTAAGGTGAAAGGTGCATGTCTGTGTTTTAGATGGATTAGGGATCAGCTGGTTTTCCCTGTAATAGGCAGTAAGAGCACCTAGAGCTTTGGAGAGCTTCTGTTCAACCATCTCAAAGCTCCCTGCTTGAGCGGTGATGGCACGATCATCAGCATAGATGAAGCTCTCTGTCCCTTCTGGCAGTGGCTGGTCATTTGTGTAGATGTTGAACATGGATGGAGCAAGCACGCTCCCCTGAGGCAGGCCGTTCTTCTGTTTCCGCCCTCTGCTTCTCTGGCCCTGGAACTCAACCAAAAAGCTCCTGTTTTGTCGCAGGTTTCCTATGAGGCGGGTGAGGTGGTCGTCCTTTGTGATATTATACATTTTTCTCAGGAGGAGGGCGGTGGTTCACAGTATCATAAGCTGCTGACAGGTCTATGAAGACAGCTCCTGTGATCTGCTGCCTTTCAAAGCCATCTGCTATGTGCTGAGTCAGGTTCAGCACTTGCGATGTGCAGCTTTTGCCTTTCCTGAAGCCAGCTTGCTTGGGATCAGACAGGGGTCTATTTTTTTCCCCGTAATTCTGTGCAGAATACGTCTCTCCAGAACTTTGTAGAGGTGGCACAACAGGGAGATTGGTCTGTAGCTTTTTGGGTCATTACAGTCTTTGCCTGGCTTCATGTTGGCAATTTTATTTATTTATTTGTCGTGTCAGGGCAGCCAGTCCATTATATTACATTTCTAACAGAACAAAGCAAACAAACAGACAAATACAAAACTTGTGAGTTTGGTAGTTGGTTAAATGTCCTTTGACCAGTATCTGGACACTTGGAGTGCTTCCGGTGTTGCCGCAAGAAGGTCCTCCATTGTTCATGTGGCAGGGCTCAGGTTGCATTGCAGCAGGTGGTCAGTGGTTTGCTCTTCTCCACACTCGCATGTCGAGGATTCCACTTTGTGGCCCCATTTCTGAAGGTTGGCTCTGCATCTTGTGGTGCCAGAGCGCAGTCTGTTCAGCGCCTTCCAAGTCGCCCAGTCCTCTGTGTGCCCAGGGGGGAGTCTCTCATTTGGTATCAGCCATTGGTTGAGGTTCTGGGTTTGAGCCTGCCACTTTTGGACTCTTGCTTGCTGAGGTGTTCCAGCGAGTGTCTCTGTAGATCTTAGAAAACTATTTCTTGATTTAAGTCGTTGATGTGCTGGCTGATACCCAAACAGGGGATGAGCTGGAGATGTCTGCCTTGGTCCTTTCACTATTGGCTGCTCTTCCCAGCGGATGTCAGGTGGTGCAATACCGGCTAAGCAGTGTAATTTCTCCCGTGGTGTAGGGCGCAGACACCCCGTGATAATGCGGCATGTCTCATTAAGAGCCACATCCACTGTTTAGCGTGGTGATGACTTGCTTTCCTCCAGATTTTGGGGATCTGACAGGATGCAGTGCAGTTGTTCATCAGCTTCAGCAGCCAGCGCCTTGCTTTTGGACCAAAGTTCTTGATGTGTTCCATCTGTAGATCATCCAGGCCAACTGCTTGCCATTTTTACAAATTAGTTCTGAAGGAGCAACAAAAATAATTGTATGGTTGGTGGTCACTACCACATGAGGAAATGGATTCAGGGGTCAAGACATTAGGAAGGTTGAGAAACACTGAACCAATTCAGGGGACCTGACTGTGCGAGAGGTTGAGTGGCCTCTGCAGCCGGAGGAGGGCCACGTGGCTCCTATTTCTGACCGGCGAAAGAGGGGAGTCCCGGGCTGACAGGTGTCTCCTTTGCCGGGCGGCGGGCGAGTGTTGGGTTGCAGCGAAGGCTATATGCGGAAACGTCCGCCTCTCCGCAAGCCAAGCGCCGGCTGCACCCCAAAGGACCTCTGAGTATTTGCATATAAACCCGTGCGACTGACTTGCCATGCCGATGCTTAACGCTGGGCTTTTTCTCCCCCTTCTCTCTAGCAAAACCGTACAATCGAAAGTGGACTGCATTTTGGTAAGTGGCACAGGTGGGCGCTCTGGGGCCGGGCACACGCGCCTGGTGGGTTTGTACCTTGGGAGGAGAGGGGGCTTGAATGGGGAGTGGAACGTGCCCCTCACAAATAATAATAATCTATATAAATAAAAATGTAATGTTCGTTTGTGGGATTAACAGAACTCAAAAACCACTGGGGGAATTGACACCAAATTTGGACACAAGACACCTCACAACCCAATGTATGTCCTTCACTCATAAAAACACTGAAAAACACAGTAGAAGGGACTTAAAAAGCACCAAAAAGCTAAATGACGGAATGGTAAATGACAATACAGAAAAAAGGGAAGAAAGAGGGAGGGAAGGGGAGAGAAAAAAAGAAAGAAAGAGGGAGGGAGGGAAAGAAAGAAAAAGAAGGAAGGAAGGGGAGAAGGAAGCATGGAAGCAAAGAGAGAAGGAAGGAAGGAAGGAAGGAAAGAGGTAGAGAAGGAAGAAAGGCGAGAAAGAGGGAGGGAAAGAAAAAGGGAGAAGGAAGGAAAGTTAGAGAAGGAAGGAAGGAGAGAAGGAAAGAAAAAAGGGAAAGAAGGAAGGAAGGAAGGAAAGGAGGTAGAGAAGGAAGAAAAGAGAGAAGGAGGAGGGAAAGAAAAAGGGGGAAGGAAGGAAAGTTAGAGAAGGAAGGAAGGAGAGAAAAAGGGAAAGAAGGAAGGAAAGAGGGAGCGAAGGAAGGGGGAAGATGTAGAGAAAGAGGGAGGGAAGGAAAGAAGGAAAGAAGAAAAGAGAGACAGAAGAGAAAGAAAAGGGGGGAAGGAAGGAAAGAGGAGAGAAGGAAGGAAGAAGAGAAGAAAGACAGGAAAGGAAGGAAGGAAGGAAGGAAGGAAAGGAAGGAAGGAAGGAAGAGAAGGAAGAGGGGGAAGGAGGAGGGAAGAAGAAGGAGAGAAAAGAGGAAGGTTGGCCACAGCAACGCGTGGCGGGTACCAGATAGTAATAATAATAATAATAATAATAATAATAATAATAATAATAATAAACTTGGGAAGTGTCTGATGTGTGATCCAATTCAACAGCCAGCAGAGTGTCTGCTGTGGACTCATCTTGTTGTGTTTCCAATAATAATAATAATAATAATAATAATAATAATAATAATAATAATAATAATAATGATAATACATCACACAGTCCTAGACACTTGGGAAGTGTCCGACGTGTGATCCACTACAACAGCCAGCAGAGTGTCTGCTGTGGACTCATCTTGTTGTGTTTCCAATAATAATAATAATAATAATAATAATAATAATAATAATAATACATCACACAGTCCTAGACACTTGGGAAGTGTCCGACATGTGATCCAATACAACAGCCAGCAGAGTGTTTGCTGTGGACTCATCTTGTTGTGTTTCTAATAATAATAATAATAATAATAATAATAATAATAATAATAATACATCACACAGTCCCAGACACTTGGGAAGTATTCGACATGTGATCCAATACAACAGCCGGCAGAGTGATCTTGTCTGTGGACTCATCTTGTTGTGTTTCAAATAATAATAATAATAATAATAATAATAATAATAATAATAATAATAATACATCACACAGTCCTAGACACTTGGGAAGTGTACAGTGGGAGATCAAACACAATCGCAATGTGGTCATGCTCCATCCTGCTTTGTCTCTCTCTCTGCATTTAGCAAGAAGTTGAGAAGTTTACAGATCTACAGAAACTCTACCTCTACCTTCAACTGCCTTCTGGACCCAGCAATGGAGAAAAAAGGTATGTGTTCTGCAGGTGCCCCTCTGCTGATTCTCCCAAGGCCCTACAGCAGGCATGGGCAAATTTGTGCCCTCCTTCCAGGTTTTTTGGACTTCAACTCCCACCATATTGTGCTATGATAATAATATAATATATTGTATTTACTTTTTACTTGTAAGCCGCTCTGAGTCCCCTTTCGGGGTGAGAAGGGCAGCATAGAAATGTCGTAAATAAATAAATATATTATATTATATTGATAATATTATTATTAGTAGTATTATATTGTATTACATTATAATATTATCAATATTATATGTATATACAATATACTGTATATTCCGGCATATAAGACGACTGGGTGTATAAGACGACCCCCAACTTTTCCAGTTAAAATATAGAGTTAAGACGACTCCCATGCATAAGACTACACCCGTGTATAAGACGACCCCTGACTTTTGAGAAGATTTTCTTGGGTTAAAAAGTAGTCTTATACGCCAGAATATACTGTATTATGTTTATTGTATTATTATTATTATATTATATTGATATTATAATGTTATATTATACTACGTATAATAATATATTTTAATTATATACTTTATATTAAATGTAATATTAATAATATTACAGTATAATGTAATATTAATATTGTGCTTTGATAATAATATAATATATTGTATTTACTTTTTACTTGTAAGCAGCTCTGAGTCCCCTTTCAGGGTGAGAAGGGCGGCATATAAATGTCGTAAATAAATAAATATATTATATTATATTATATTGATATTATATTAATAATATTATTATTAGTAGTATTACATTGTATTATAATATATTGTATTTACTTTTTACTTGTAAGCCACTCCGAGTCCCCTTCGGGGTGAGAATAAATCTATTTTATATTATATTATATTATATTATATTATATTATATTATATTATATTAAGTACAGTGCAGGAGACAAGACAAAAATTCCACCACCAGTCCAATTTTTTCAAAATCCAATTACTGCAGGGACCGAAAGTGAGGTGGAATCTCCTGAACGGGGGCACCGGAAGCAAAGGAAACAACACAGGGGTGGCATTCATCCTTCCCTTTGCAATCCAAAGTTAAGAAGGATATATTTTTGGCTGGAGCTAGACTGACATATGTACCTGTTCTGACTTACAGACAATTCCAGCTTCATAACAAACCTACAAAATCTCTCTTGTTCATAACTTGGGTACAGCCTGTAGAACATTGCCTAAAAATTAGCAATTATGAAGCGTGCTCCCTGTAACTCCTTTCCTCTCTCCTTTCTCCTCCTTATCCTGCTCTTCCTCCTCTTTTCTGGTGCAGTGACCAGCTGTCGGTGTCGTCCAGCCGGGCCCAACAGGTGCATGCCTTCTCCTGGATCCGGAACACCTTGGAGGAGCACCCCGAGACCTCCCTCCCCAAACAGGAGGTCTACGATGAGTACAAGTGAGTCACTCCCAAGTAAAAATCCGCAAATAGGGACGCTCTGCCCACTCTGCAGTGCCTCTGTCAGTGACATCGGCCACACAGCAAGGCAGGAACACGATCATCACAGTCATTTTAGGCTATAAACTACTTTATTTTACAGCTATATACATTAGCACATTGTAAACTTGCTTTTCGCCATCCGATCATAACATGGCGAACACACGAACTGCTGTTATCAGTACTAGTCCACACCTCCTGCATTCCAGACGAACTGCTGTTATCAGTACTAGTCCACACCTCCTGTATTCCAGAGTGACGTATGATGTATGATGCTGGATCCATTTGCTCTATACACTTGATTTATGACCTCTCTAGGAATGCCGTTCCCTCCATGGTTCAGTTAACTCTTTTCACATAGTTACTGCATTTTGAACATACATACATACTTTGAAATCTATATTATAAATTACAAATATCTTCAGCAGCCTCCTCCTCCTTGCCGCCTGTGCTCCTGCCGACTTCAGAGGTCCCTTGGGCACCATTGATGGCACTGCCAAGCTGCCAGGCTGGGTTAGGCCCCTTGGGTGCCGTTCAGAGGCCCCTTGGGCACCGTTGATGGCGCTGCCAGGCTGCCAGGCTGGGTTAGGCTTCTCGAGCGCTGTTCAGAGGCCCCTTGGGCACCATTGATGACACTGCCAGGCAGGGTTAGGCTTCTCGAGCACCGTTCAGAGGCCCCTGGGGCACCGTTGATGGCACTACCAGGCTGCCAGGCTGGGTTAGGCTTCTCGAGCGCTGTTCAGAGGCCCCTTGGGCACCATTGATGACACTGCCAGGCAGGGTTAGGCTTCTCGAGCACCGTTCAGAGGCCCCTGGGGCACCGTTGATGGCACTACCAGGCTGCCAGGCTGGGTTAGGCTTCTCGAGCGCTGTTCAGAGGCCCCTTGGGCACCATTGATGACACTGCCAGGCAGGGTTAGGCTTCTCGAGCACCGTTCAGAGGCCCCTGGGGCACCGTTGATGGCACTACCAGGCTGCCAGGCTGGGTTAGGCTTCTCGAGCGCTGTTCAGAGGCCCCTTGGGCACCATTGATGACACTGCCAGGCAGGGTTAGGCTTCTCGAGCACCGTTCAGAGGCCCCTGGGGCACCGTTGATGGCACTACCAGGCTGCCAGGCTGGGTTAGACTTCTCGAGCGCTGTTCAGAGGCCCCTTGGGCACCGTTGATGGTACTGCCAGGCTGCCAGGCTGGGTTAGGCCCCTTGGGCACTGTTGATGGTGCTGCCAGGCTGGGTTGGGCCCTTGGGCACCGTTGATGACACTGCCAGGCTGCCAGGCTGAGTTAGGCCTCTTGGCTGTCGTTCAGAGGCTCCTTGGACACCGTTGATGAGGCTGCCAGGCTGGGTTAGGCCCCTTGGGTACCGTTCAGAGGCCCCTTGGGCTCCATTCAGAGGCCCCTTGGGCACCATTGCTGGCGTATCCAGGCTGCCAGGCTGGGTTAGGCCCCTTGGGCACCGTTCAAAGGCTCCTTGGGCACCGTTGAAGGGGCTGCCAGGCTGCCAGTCTGGGTTAGGCCCCTTGGGCACGGTTCAGAGGCCCCTTGGGCACGGTTCAGAGGCCCCTTGAGCCTGCTCCTCCTCGCTACCTCTGCTTCTCTGGCCTCAGAGGCACCTTGGGTGCCATTGATGGCACTGCTAGGCTGGGTTAGGATGGTGCTAGGATGGTGCTAGGATGGTGCTCAGCCCAGCCTGGCAGCACCATCAACAGTGGCCAAGGGGCCTCCGAAGCTGGCAGGAGCACAGGTGGCGAGGAGGAAGCTGCTCTTCCTCCCCCCCCCCCCCCCACCCTGTGGCTCGGGCAAGGAAAAAAAACGCGATATAGGAAGTCTGCAGGAAGCGAACTGCGAAGTGGTGAGGGAACACTGTATTTAGAAATCGAAAACATATGAAACAAATGCACATACACAGATAGGTGTAAAACCAGTTGTGTCCCAAAGACTGTAGCAGACATGTCCGTTTCCTTCCTTGGGTGCCAAAAAGAGGGGCTGTGCCAGGAAAGGTTGTCGGTCCCCAGAAGCATGAACGCTTTCTCTGCTTCTCTTTCAGGAGCTATTGCGACAATCTTGGCTACCACCCCTTAAGTGCCGCCGATTTTGGGAAGATAATGAAAAACGTCTTCCCCAACATGAAGGCCCGGCGCCTGGGCACTCGGGGCAAATCCAAATATCCTTTGGCTGTGAATGTCTCTTCATCGGCGCCTATCTCTCCCCTCCTCTCTTCCTATTTATTTATTTCTTTATTTACAACATTTAGGTTCTTAAATCTTTGTGTGTTACTGTTTATTGGTTATTGTTTATATGTGATTTATTTTAATTGTATTGTATTTATTGTTTTTGTTTATTGCTTTTGTTTATTGATGTGTTGTCGGGCTTGGCCTCATGTAAGATGCTGGCGGAGTATAAATAACTTATTATTATTATTATTATTATTATTATTATTATTATCATCATTAATATGTCACCCTTCTTACCCCAAAGGGGACTCAGAGCAGCTTACAAGATATATATACGTACAATATATTGCACTATTAGCATTGTACAATATCAGCATTGTATATTACTATATTGTACTATACTAATATATTGTAATATTATTAGTAGTATTACATTTAATATAAACTACATAATTATAATATTGCATTATTATTAGCAGTACTAGCTGTACCCGCCACGCTTTGCTGTGGCCAACCTTCCCTCCCTCTTTCTCCTTTTTTCCTCTTTCCTTCCTTCTCTCTTTTTCTTTCCCTTCTTCTTTCTTCCTTCTCTACCTGTTTCTTTTCTCGCTTCCTTTGCTCTTTGGTTCCATCCTTCCTTGTCTCTTTCCTTCCTTCCCTCCCTCTTTCTCTCTTTTGTTCCTTCTCTCCTTCCCTTTTTCGCTTTTTTATTTCCTTCTCTCCTTCCTTTCTTCTCTCCTTCCCTCCTTCTTTCTCTTCTTTCCCTCTTTCTTTCTCTCCTTCTCTCCTTCCCTCCCTCTTTCTCTTCTTTCCCTCTTTCTCTCCCTTCTTTCCTTCCTTCCTTCCTTCTCTAACCCTCTTTCTTTCCTTCTCTCCTTCCCTCCTACTTTCTCTTCTTTCCCTCTTTCCCTCCTTCCTTCCATCTCTACCCTTCTTTCTTTCCTTCTCTCCTTCCTTCTCTACCCTTCTTTCTTTCATTCTCTCCTTCCCTCCTTCTTTCTCTTCTTTCCCTCTTTCTCTCCTTCCTTCCTTCCTTCTCTACCCCTCTTTCTTTCCTTCTCTCCTTCTACTTTCTCTTCTTTCCCTCCCTCCTTCCTTCCTCTCTACCCTTCTTTCTTTCCTTCTCTCTCCTTCCTTCTCTACCCTTCTTTCTTTCCTTCTCTCCTTCCTCCTTCCTTCTCTTCTTTCCCTCTTTCTCTCTTTCCTTCCTTCCTTCCTTCTCTACCCTTCTTTCTTTCCTTCTCTCCTTCCCTCCTACTTTCTCTTCTTTCCCTCTTTCCTCCTTCCTTCCTTCTCTATCCTTCTTTCTTTCCTTTTCTCCTTCTCTCCTTCCTTCCTTCCTTCCTTCCTTCCTTCTCTACCCTTTCTTTCCTTCTCTCCTTCCCTCCTTCTTTCTCGTCTTTCCCTCTTTCTCTCCTTCCTTCCTTCCTTCCTTCCTTCCTTCCTTCCTTCCTTCCTTCCTTCTCTACCCTTCTTTCTTTCCTTCTCTCCTTCCCTCCTTCTTTCTCTTCTTTCCCTCTTTCCTCCTTCCTTCTTCTCTCCCTTCTTTCTCTCCCTCTCCTTCTCTCCTTCCTTCCTTCCTTCTCTACCCTTCTTTCTTTCCTTCTCTCCTTCCCTCCTACTTTCTCTTCTTTCCCTCTTCTCTCCTTCCTTCCTTCCTTCTTTACCCTTCTTTCTTTCCTTCTCTCCTTCCCTCCTTCTTTCCCTCTTTCTCTCCTTCCTTCCTTCCTTCCTTCCTTCCTTCCTTCCTTCCTTCCCTTCCTTCTTTCTTTCCCTTCCTTTCTTCTTTCTTTCTTTCCTTCCTTCCTTCCTTCTTCTCTACCCTTTCTTTCTTTCTCTCTCCTTCCCTCCTTCTTTCCCTCTTTCTCTCCTTCCTTCCTTCCTTCCTTCCTTCTCTACCCTTCTTTCTTTCCTTCTCTCCTTCCCTCCTTCTTTCCCTCTTTCTCTCCTTCTTTTCTCCTTTCTTCCTTCCTTCTCTACTTCTTTCTTTCCTTCTCTCCTTGTCTCCTTCCTTCCTTCTCTACCCTTCTTTCTTTCCTTCTCTCTTTCCCTCCTTCTTTCTCTTCTTTCCCTCTTTCTCTCCCTCCTTCTCTCCTTCCTTCTTTCTCTACCCTTCTTTCCTTCCTTCTCTCCTTCCCCCCTTCTTTCTCTCCCTCCTTCTCTCCTTCCTCCTCTACCCTTTTTTCTTTCCTTCTTTCTCTCTCCTCCTTCTCTCCCTCATTCTCTCACTCCTTCTTCCTTTCCCCTTTCTGCTGTGTTTTCCAGTGTTTTTCTGAGTGATGTTCACTCCCTGGCCTGAGAGGAGTCTTGTGTCCAAATTTGGTGTCAATTTGCCCAGTGGTTTTTGAGTTCTGTTAATCCCACAAACGAACATGACCTTTTTATTTATATAGATTATATTTTATTACATTATAATATTATAAATATTACTAGCTGTCCCCTGCCAGGCGTTACTGTGGCCCAGTCTGGTGATCTGGGCACTAAAGTAATTAGAAAGTGCTGGTTTCTAATCTATCTAATTTCTTTGTCAGTGTTGATGTGGAGAGTGTCTGGTTTGCCTACTCTGGAACAGGCAACATATCATTGTCCTTTCTAGAAGCTCTTCCGGGAGTTCTGCCCTGGCTTTGCCCCGGAATCCCACCCAGAGAGAGGCCTAACCTCTGTCCCTCCAACAGAATAGGAAAACTTCTATTTACACCTTAATTTTCAAAATCACGTATTGCTACAGCGGACTCCGGAAGAAAGCCTTTGTGCAGATGCCGACGCTTCCCAATCTGGACTTCCATAAAATAGGAGATGGGGTAAGAGATAGATGAAAAGGTAAAGGTTTCCCTTTGACGTGCCTGACTCCGGGACTCTGGTACTCATCTCTGTTTCGAAGCCAAAGAGCCGGTGTTGTCCCTAGACGCCTCTAAGGTCATGTGGCCACTGGCATGACTGCATGGAGCGCCCTTATCTTCCCTATTGATCTTCTCACGTTTGCATGTTTGTGAACTGCTAGGTTGGCAGGAGCTGTATATATATCTGTGTGCATACGCTTTCCCAACTTGGCCCAGAACATTTGTCCCATCGACCAAAAGGAGATGGGCCCAAAAACCGGCACCTGTTTTACTATAACTTTTGGGGCCAGGAGTGAAACCTTAGGAGGGGAATGGCTGTGGGGCGCCTTTGGGGCCATTGCTGAGGAGCCCCCGTTCGTTTTGCCCGCAGCTGGACGGGGCGGAGGCGTCTGGGCAGCTGCAGAGTGCAGACGAGGAGGTGGTGTCGGCAGCCTGCCAGCTGGTCTGCGAATGGGCCCAGAAGGTACTCAGCCAGCCCTTTGACACCGTCCTGGACCTCTCCCGCTTCCTGGTCAAGAGCCACTACATCGGCACCAAGTCCATGGCCGCCTTGACCGTCATGGCGGGGGCCCCAGCAGGTGAGGCCTGGCTCCCTTCTCTTCCCTTTGGGGCGGGTGGGTTCCGCATGAGTCCTGTACTGGGGAATCTGGGCATCCGTCACTCAGTGACACTCCAGAGATGAGGATTGGAAGCAACCCTCCGAGGACTCCATGGGAAGGAACTGTGGCATAAGGAGAAGGCAAGGCGGGTCATGTATACATTACTATGTTGTTTGGACCAAGGATTTCATGGCCAGAGCACCGGAGTGTTGTCTTGTTGTTGTTGCTGTTGTTGTTGCTAGTAAGTAATGGTAATAATAATAATTGTATGTATTCTATCAAGCAAGGAATTTATTTATTTACTGTGTCAGGGGAAACCAGACCATTGTATTATTTATTTACTTTACTTTACTTTACTTTACTTTACTTATAAACCAATAAGAACAGCAAAAATTCAATGCAACAGTGTAAAAACAGTTAACACTTAACACATTACACAAATTAATAAACAATTACTACAATAACCAATCATTTTACATTTCTATTACATTTCTAACAGAACAAAACAAACAAACAGATAAAAAAACCACAAAGTTTGCAAGCTTGGTATTGGATTAAATGTCCTTTGACCAGTCTCTGGCCCCGTGGAGTGCTTCTGGTGTTGCCGCAAGAAGGTCCTCCCTTGTGCATCATGTGGCAGGGCTCAGGGCGCATTGCAGCAGGTGGTCAGTGGTTTGCTCTTCTCCGCACTCGCATGTCGAGGATTCCACTTTGTGGCCCCATTTCTGAAGGTTGGCTCTGCATCTCGTGGGGCCCGAGCGCAGTCTGTTCAGCGCCTTCCAAGTCCGTGTGTCCAGGGGGGAGTCTCTCCTTTGATATCAGCCATTGGTTGAGGTTCTGGGTTTGAGCCTGCCACTTTTGGACTCTCGCTTGCTGAGGTGTTCCAGCAAGTGTCTCTGTAGATCTTAGAAAACTATTTCTTGATTTAAGTTGTTGACGTGCTGGCTGAGACCCAAACAGGGGATGAGCTGGAGATGTCTCTGCCTTGGTCCTTTCACTATTGGCTGCTACTACCCAGCGGATGTCAGGTGGTGCGATGCCGGCTAAGCAGTGTGGTTTCTCCAGTGGTGTAGGGCACAGACACCCCGTGATAATGCAGCATGTCTCATTCAGAGCCACATCCAGTGTTGTAACTCCAGATAGATAGATAGACAGACAGACACACACAGAGGGAGAGGGAATGCTTTGGATCACGTTGGGAAGGGTGAATATCACGATGGTGTTTGTGTGCCCCTGTTCGGAAGATTTCCCCTCACTTTCTGTCCCTGTGAGAGTCGGATTTTGAATATTTTGGCTTGTTGTGGAAACAAGGATTGGGGATTGTTGTGGCTGAGCTATTTTCTGACAACGAGGATGATGGGATTCAGATTCCTGTTGGGTTTCAGCTTCCTGGCTCTTTGTGCCTCAAATCTCTGAGCCGGCTTCCGAGGCTCTCACAGACAGTGCAGTGTCAACACAGCTGTTTTCACCACAAAGGAATGTTAACGAAGGAGATAGCAATGATACTGAAAGTATAGATAAGGATTTGACCCAAGAAGCTCGCCTTGATCTCCGGGTCAGGCGGAGTTCGCGTCTGGCAAGCAGACGGGAGGCTAGCTCGGTGAAAGGTCATCGCAATGCTTTTATGATGCTGAGAGCCTAATGTTTTGATGTTAGAAAGGTATTTAGGCCTCCTGGAAACTCTGTGAAAGCGTCAGTTCAACGTAGCTTACTAGCCTGAAAGCTTCATGGAATAACCTTAGCCTGGAAAGCAGTATGTTTGGGATTTCTTGCATGGTGATTCATGGGGGGAGGGCTAGGCCTTGCCTGTGGTCCTCCACAGCCCCAGTGACACAACCTTCGGTTCCCTTTCTTTCCCAGGACTCAAAGGGATCCCTCCGGCAGCATCCGCCTTCATCCCGACGGCGGAGAGCCATCTCTTCCAGCCGCAGGTGAAGACCCTTCCTTCCCCCATTGACGCCAAGCAGCAGCTCCAGCGCAAGATCCAGAAGAAGCAGCAGGAGCAGAAGCTGCAGTCACCTTTGCCGGGGGAGTCTCCGGGGGCCAAGAGGGCCGAGGGGCCCGGGCCCGCCAGCAACGGGGTGCCCGCCCTCTCCAACGGCAGTCCGGCCATCCTCTCTCCACAGCCCATCGGGATCGTGGTGGCCGCCGTCCCCAGCCCCATCACGGTACGTGTCGTCCCCCCCCCCCCCCGCTCCAGTTCAATCTATATATATAAATCTGTAAGGGGGGTTAAACGGGACAGCAAAACTAAAAAAAACCCCAACGAAAATTAACCAAAATTCCCACGCACATACCTCAACCCACAATGTACAAACAAATTGAATCAAAATAAAAAACAACACAACAACACACTCACAAAACAGCTGAGCATGCCCAATGGCGCAAAGTCCCCGGCACGCGCACATGGCCAAACGGCCAACGCACCCTCCGCACCCCCTTCCACCGAAGCCCCGCCCACACCTACCAAGGCCCCGCCCCTGCACTCCTCCACCCACCCCCCTTCACCAAAGCCCCACCCACACCCACCAAGGCCCCGCCCCTGCACTCCTCCTCCTCCTCCCACCCCCTCCGCCGAAGCCCCGCCCACACCCACCGAGGGGGAAGGAATAGGTAGGTACCTCTCTTTCATAATAGACCAGATATCTACCTCTACTTTGAAAAGATTTACTATAGGCCACAGCAACACGTGGCAGAGTACAGCTAGTAATCTATATATATATAAATGCTCTGGGCGTAATGAGTACCTTAAAAACAAAAGAACCAATGAACGAAATCACACCAAATTTGGCAACATAATGTCTCACAACACAAGGAGTGACCATCACTCAAAAAATTGTGATTTTGTCATTTGGGAGTTGTAGTTGTTGGGATTTATAGTCCACTTTGAATCAAAGAGCATTCTAAACTCCATCAATAATGGAATTGAACCAAGCTTGGCATACAGGACTCCCCTGACCAACAGAAAACACTAGAAGGGTTTGGTAGGCATTGACCTTGAGTTTGGGAGTTGTAGTTCACCTACATCCAGAGAGCATTGTGGACTCAAACAATGATGGATCTGGACCAAACTTGGCACAAATATTCCATATGCCCAAATATGAACACAGATGGAGTTTGGGGGAAATAGAGCTTGACATTTGGGAGTTGCAATCACTGGGATTCACAGTTCACCTACAATCAAAGAGCATTCTGAACCCCACGAACGTCAGAATCGGGGAACTTCCCACACAGAACCCCCATGACCAACAGAAAATACTCAAGGCCATCCAGTCCAACTCCCTTCACCAGGGCAAAAAAACGTAATCAAAGCCCTCCTGACAAAGAGCCATCCAGCCATAGATATAGATAGATAGATATGATTCACACACACACATAGTATCATAGATTTGAAAGGGATCCTTACCGTTCCTTCCTTCTTTCCCTTTTTCATTTCCTTCCTCTTCATTTCCTTCCCTCCCTCCTTTCTTCCTCCTTCCTTCCTTCCTTCTCCTTCCTCTCTCCCTTCCTGTCCCTCCTTCTTACCAAGAAGTAACGAGAGAAGGAGGGAAAGAGGGAAGGAAGGAAGGAAAGAAGGAGGGAGGGAAAGAAGGAAAGAAAGAAAGAAGCAAGGAAGGAGAGAAGGAAATAAAAAAGTGAAAGGAAAAAGAGAGTGAAGGAAGGAGAGAAGGAACGAAAGATAGGGAAGGAAGGAAGGAAGGAAGGAAGGAAGGAAGGAAGGAAGGAGGGAAAGAGGGAAGGAAGGAAGGAGAGAAGGAGGGAGGGAAAGAAGGAAAGAAAGAAAGATAGAGAAGCAAGGAAGGAGAGAAGGAAATAAAAAAGTGAAAGGAAAAAGAGAGGGAAGGAAGGAGAGAAGGAACAAAAGATAGGGAAGGAAGGAAGGGAAGGAAGGAAGGAAGAAGAGCAGGAAGAAGGAAAGAAAGAGAAGAGAAGAGGAAGGAGAGAAGGAAAAAAAAGTGAAAGGAAAAAAGAGGGAAGGAAGGAAGGAAGGAACGAAAGAAGGAAGGAAGGAGGAGAGAAAGGGAAGGAAGGAAGGAAGGAGAGAAGAGGGAGGGAAAGAAGGAAAGAAAGAAATAAAGAATCAAGGAAGGAGAGAAGGAAATAAAAAAGTGAAAGGAAAAAGAAGAGGGAAGGAAGGAGAGAAGGAACAAAAGATAGGGAAGGAAGGAAGGAAGGAGAGAAGGAGGGAGGGAAAGAAGGAAAGAAAGATAGAGAAGCAAGGAAGGAGAGAAGGAAAAAAGAAGGGAGAAGAAGGAAGGAAGGAAGAAGGAAGGAAGGAAGAAGGAAGGAAGGAAGGAAGAGAGAAAGGGGGAAGGAAAGAAGGAGGGAAAGAAGGAAATAAAGATAGAGAAGCAAGGAAGTAGAGAAGGAAATAAAAAAGTGAAAGGAAAAAGAGAGGGAAGGAAGAAGCGAAGGAATGAAAGATAGGGAAGGAAGGAAATAACCAAAGAGCAAAGAAAGGGAAGAAAGAAACAGGTAGAGATGGAAGAAAGATGAGAGATATGGAAAGAAAAAGAGGAAAGGAAGGGAAGAGGGAAGGGAGGAGAGAAAGAGGGAGGGAAGGTTGGCCACAGCAATGCGTGGCGGGTACAGCAAGTATACACACATATACACTCAAAAACACATATACACAGACAGACTCCTCAGGTCTGCCACACTTTGAGTATTATTAGATAAATAATAATAATAATAATAATAATAATAATCTTTATTTATACCCCGCTACCATCTCCCCAAGGGACTCGGTGCGGCTTACGTGAGGCCGAGCCCAAAATACAACAATACAAGCAATAACGATAACAATACAAGCAATTTAAGGGTATAGATGTCAGTATAGTTGTCAGGAAATTCGAAATACTGCATTTAGCCACATCTATATGTGTGTGTGTGTGTTCAGATTCTGATGGCTGTTCCTTTTGATAACTTTAGACATCTTCTCAAGGCTGAATAAATACCCAAGCGACCCTGTTTCCCCTCCCTGTCTCCCAACCCAGGTGCCCAGGACCCGGCAGCTGGTGACCTCCCCCAGCCCCGTGGGCTCCTCGGAGGGCAAGGTGCTCCCGCTCAACGTCCAGGTGGTCACTCAGCACATGCAGTCGGTCAAGCAGTCGCCCAAGACCCCGCAGAATGTGCCCGCCAGCCCCGTGGGCGACCGCTCGGCCCGCCACCGCTACCCGCAGATCCTGCCCAAGCCGGCCGGCTCCGGGCCCCTCACCATCCGCTCCCCGACCACCGTGCTCTTCACGAGCAGCCCCATCAAGACCACCGTGGTCCCCGCCCAACATATGAATGTCGTCAAGATGACTGCCATCTCCCTCGCCCCCAGCAGCACCGGCGGCGCAACGGTCAAGCATTCGGCCACAGGAATGACTTCGGGAGCTGCAGCGGCCGCCTCCGCTGAAGAGCCGAGGCCCGTCCTGCAGATCAAGAACGGGTCTGTGGTCTCCCTTCAGTCTCCGGGCTCCAGGGCCGGTGGTGGAAGCGCAACCCCCGCTGCCTCTTCGGTAGAAGTCAAGATGGAGCCGGAAGGGGCCTTGGAGGAGAGCCAGGAGACCGCGGGCGCTGCCAAAGCCGTCAAAGCTGCCCTGAACGTGGCTGCCGTTGACCAGCAGAGGAGAGAGGAAGGCGGGCCCTGGAAAAGCCAGGCTGAGGAGGGTCTCGGAGAAGGCAAAGGCCTCCAGGGCTACGACGTGGGAGCAGAGGATTCCGGGAGGAGCGGCCTCCCACTGCCCAGCGGCCTGCCCTCCGTTCAAAAAACACTCCCCTCCCTGCAAGTGACCCTGAACGTGTCCGGCGCTGGAGGCAGTGACAAACTCTTTGCAAAAAGCCCCAGGAAGAGACTGCCCTCGGTCTTTGCCGAAGCCCAGGGCCCTCCGGTCAAGAAGCTCTCGGTAGGGCAGGCCCCTGCTGATGCTGCGGCTCCAGCTGCTGTGAGTGCAGAGGCCTCCAAGAAAGCCCCGGCGCGGGTGGTGGCTCTGGCCAAGAGGGAGGTCCCAGCGACGCTGCTTCAGGTGCCCGGCAAGGTCATGATCAAGGTCCACTCGGCCTCCGCCAGCAACCTGGTGACCTGCCCGCTGGACGCCGACATCCTCATCAGCACCAGCGATGCCGCTCTCGGGCAGCAGCTCTCCACTTCCTCTCCGGACGTCAAGGTCAAGCTGGAAGGGAACGTCTTTGTCCTGGAGAACGCCTCCAAGCCGGATGGGGGATTTGCCCCCGAAGTGTGGCAGCACCTGGCCAAGGCCTCCACTTTTGCCGCCGTTAACCACCAACAGCCCCAGATGCAGCAGCGGCAGCAGCCGCCGCCCCAGCCCCTGCCTTTGCTGCCGCTGCCGCCGCCTGAGGACGAGGAAGAGGATGAGGAGATCAGCGTCATGACCCTGGCGGGGCACTCCGTCTCCGACGACTTGCCCAAGTCCGTCTGGGAGCCCGTGCACTTCGAAGGACTGCAGCCGCAGCAGCTGCCGGCACAACAGTCTCAGCTGCAGCTGCAGCAGGCGGAGGAGGAGGCGACGGTGGCCATGTACGGGCAGTCGCTGCAGGGCCAGGGTCACGATGCCGCCTCGCTCGAGCACCTCCAGGCTCAAGCCGCCGGTCAGTTGTCCCTGCAGCCGCCGCCGGAGCTGAAGGAGTTTGAGGACGCCGCCTCCCAGTCCAATGAGAACTACTTCTCCTTCGATGACGACCTGACGCAGGACAGCATCGTGGAGGAGCTGGTGCTGATGGAGGAGCAGATGTCCATGGGGGGCTCCCACCTGTACGGCACCTCCTTGGGCATGGCTCTGCAAAGCCAGGGGGTGGCGGGGGTGGCACAGGCGGTGTCCCTGCCCTCCCACGTGGCGGGCAGCGCTCACTTCTACCACCCCATCCACAGCAGCAGCACCCCGGCACACACCCCGACCCCCACGCCCACCCCGACCCCCACCCCGACGTCGGAGCTCATAACTGGCTCGCAAGGCATCTCACGGGAGAGCCCCTGCTCCCGGATGGCCCCCACCACCCCCGTGGACAGCGCCCTCGGCAGCAGCCGGCACACGCCCATCGGCACGCCGCACTCCAACTGCAGCAGCAGCGTGCCCCCGAGCCCCGTAGAGTGCCGCAACCCCTTCGCCTTCACGCCCATCAGCGCCAGCGTGGCCTACCATGACGCCAGCGTGGTCTCCAGCAGCCCCGTCAAGCCCATGCAGCGGCCCATGGCGACCCACCCGGACAAGACCCGCCTGGAGTGGATGAACACCGGCTACGGAGGGGGAGCCGTCTCCGGCCACGGCATCCTGCCCAGCTACCAGGAGCTGGTGGAGGACCGCTTCCGGAAGCCCCACGCCTTTGCCGTTCCCGGCCAGGCCTACCAGTCCCAGGCCCGGCACCACGATGGCCATTTGGGCCGCCTGACCCCCGTGTCCCCCGTCAATAAGCAAGAGGGCTTTGCCGTCCCCGCTCCCCTCGACGGCAAGGGTTCCGGCTCCTCCTCCTCCTCCTCCTCCCATGGCAGCAACTTCCGCTGCCGCAGCGTCAGCCCCGCTGTGCACCGCCAGCGCAACCTGAGCGGCAACACGGCCTGCCCGGTCACGGGGCTCTTGCGCTCGGGACTGACGTCCACCACGCACTTCGGGAGCCCCGTCCCCCCTGAGGCACTGCATGGCAGCCCCTTCGCCAGCCCCGCAGGAGACGCCGGCAGCAGTAGCGCGGCTGCCAAGACCCTGGCCCAGCGCAGCCAGTCGGTCCCGCTGACGGTCATGATGCAGACGGCCCTCCTGCCGCCGCCTCCACAGAAACCGCAGCCCAGCGCCAAGAAGATCACCAACGTCCTGCTGAGCAAGCTGGACCCGGACAGCGATGACGCCGTGCGGGGCCTGGGCATCAACAACCTGCCCTCCAACTACACAGCTCGCATGAACCTGACGCAGATCTTGGAGACGTCGGCCAGCTTCCCCGGCGGTCAGGGCATGCTCAACCCCAGCCCGGCCGTGTTTGACTTCCAGTCGCCCAGTTACCTCAGCAAAGACGATGGCGGCCCCGATCCTCTGACGTTCTCCTCTGGGGAGCCCCAAGCACAGTCTGCGCCCGGCGGCGAAGCCCAGATTGACTTTAGCAGCACCGTGAAGGAGCTGCTGGAGGAGGACAGCCTCCAGCCCAGCCAGGAGCTGGTCAACCAAGTGGCTTCGGACCTCGGGGGCGTGGGCGGCGTGTCCTCCGTCTTCTCCAGCGACATCCGCTTGACCTCCGACCTCTCTGGCAGCATCAACGACCTGAACGCGCTGGACGCCAACCTGCTCTTTGACCCGGGGCCCCACCAGCAGGGCCAGGACGACGAAGCCACACTGGAGGAGCTGAAGAACGACCCGCTTTTCCAGCAGATCTGCAACGAGTCCATCGGCTCCATGACGTCGGCCGGGTTCGAGTGGATGGAGAGCAAGGACCACCCGGCTGTGGAGATGCTGGGCTGACCCAGGAGAGCCCCGCGCAGGCGGGAGAGAGGGAGATATACAAAACATGTATGTAGCACACTGTATCTCAAAGGCAGGCGTATTGTATTTGTCTTAATGGAAGTGCCTCCTGCAGCAGAAAACACTGACTATGACTCCATTGTGGCATTTGGGGGGGAAAGGAAAAAGAAAAACACAACATTGCTCTACCAGCTGCTTCGTTCTTCAGCAGGGAATCGAGACGATCCTTACCGTTCCTGAAGGAGGCAGCTTGATCCAGAGCCAGTATTAGGTTTTAAGAATTGTACTTACGGAAGAAGAGCGTTTCTTTTTGTAGCAAAAAGGATGAGGGAGGAAAAAAAAGAAGGAAAGTGTGGACAGCGAGAGGACTCTCTCAGTTTAGCAAGCCTAAACGGCGTGTGGACGGGCACGGAGCCTCCGACACTGCTGCGGCTTGACGTGGGCCAATGGACGGAGGCCGGGTTCCTTCCCATGTGTGTTAGTGACGGGGAGAGCGCTGTCCACACTGAGGTGGGCGCAGAAGCCTCTACCTGTGGTGCAGGTAGAAAGGAGGTGAAAGGGGGGGGGACCCAAGAGAGCACACATGGACACGTGATGGGGGGCCAGGCACAAGAGGTTGCGGGGGGTCCCCGTCGCCCGCTACGGCTGCTTTTCCGCTTGCGGGATCCTGATGGGAAGGCTTTGGGCTCTGTCGGTGCTCCGTTGTGCGGTAGAGGTGGCGGAGCTCCCCGAGACACCAATACATTTGAAAACTCACAACCAACCAAGGGCTAGCAAAGAGGAAGGCAGGAGGAGGAGAGGCYGGCGGGTGGGCGGGCACCGCAGAGGAACCCCTCGGCCTCCTTGAGRGACGTCTCCATCCACCGGCTGCCGCCGGGGCAGGACGAGGAGGAGAGGCGGGTGGGCGGGTGGCCACCGCAGAGGGACCCCTCGGCCTCCTTGAGCGACGTCTCCTCTGTTCTTCTCGGTTTTTAAAGGTTGCTTTTATATCTCAGATTCCGGGGGAGGAGGTCCGTACCCCGGGGATTACCGTGTGCATTCTGCTCTGCTGCATGACCATCCCTGAAGCGATTGCATTTTAAAGCGATTSGTCAGTGAAATCGAGAGGGAGACGGGATGGAGGTTTTCCCAGGTCCTCTGTTCTGGGGTAAGGGCGGTGCACCTGATGCCTCTTTCTTTGGGGCTGCCCTAGGTGTTCAGGGGCAAAGGCGGTACAGCTGGTGCCTCTTTCTTTGGGGCTACCCTATAGCCAGCTCTGCCTCCCTACGACTCCTCCCCTCGGGGAATCAGCCTTGACCCGTCCCGTGCCTCCTTTTGCCGTTTCCTGCCCGTTGCCCTTTGGCTGCCTTCGGAAAGAAACGGCAGACTCAAGGTCAACCACCCGGAGCCTTAATGTGCACAGAAGGGTCTTTGTGCTGGGGTCGTCTTGGCCCCCAAACATCCACCTCTGAGGGGCACCGGTTGCTCTAGTGGGCAGCCCTTGGCCACCAGCAAAGACAGGAGTATTGCTGAAGGCTTTCATGGCTGGAATCATTAGGTTCTTGTGGGTTTTTTTGGGCTATAGGGCCATGTTCTAGAGGCATTCTCTCCTGACGTTTCGCCTGCATCTATGGAAAGCATCCTCAGAGGTAGTGAGGTCTGTTGGAATTAGGACAATGGATTTATATATTTATTTTATTTACTTTACTTGTATACCGCAGTTTCTCAGCCCAACAGGTGACTCAACGCGGTTTACAACAAGGATAAGAATCAATCAACGATATACAATTTAAAACCATAAAAGCATAATATACAATATTGACACAACAATAGACAACACAATGGATCTCATAACATATATCTGTGGAATGGCTGGGGTGGGGCAAAGAGCTCTTCTCTGCTGGAGCTAGGTGTGAATGTTTCAACTGACCACCTTCATTAGCATTTGAAGGCCTGTCTGAGCCTGGGAAAATCTTTTGTCGAGAGGAAACAACCAGGCACATCTTAACGCCTCTCAACAAAAGATTTTCCCAGGCTCAGCCAGGCCTTCAAATGCTAATGAAGGTGATCAGTTGAAACATTCACACCTAGCTCCAGCAGAGAAGAGCTCTTTGCCCCACCCCAGCCATTCCACAGATATATAAACCCATTGTCCTATTTCCAACAGGCCTCACTACCTCTGAGGATGCTTGCCATGGATGCAGGCGAAACATCAGGAGAGAATGCCTCTAGAACATGGCCCTATAGCCTGAAAAAACGCACAAGAACCTAAAGACAGGAGTGTCAGGGCCTTCCTTCCCTTGGGTGGGCAGAGAGGCGTTCACCAAGACCTGCCCTTGGGAGGTGGCACGTTGCAGTATTCTTGGCACCATTGCTGCCTATGGGCCACCTGGAAAAGTTTCTTGCCAGGTTCTTCCACTTCTTTCCATTTTCGGTGCTAGAACCCCATCGCCTCAGTCCTTGCCCTTTGAGGCACTCGGCAACGCAGTTGGCGCAGGGACCTTACCGCCCCTGGGAGCCCGAGAGAGACAATGCAAGCACAGGAAAAACCGCTTTCTGGTCCTTTGCGGCGACTCCCCCATCGGCGACTCCGATGGGACTCCAAAGCCAATGGCTTTGGAGTCCCATCGGAGTCGCCGATGGGGGAGTCGCCGCAAAGGACCAGAAAGCGGTTTTTCCTGTGCTTGCATTGGCTCTCTTGGGCTCCCAGGGGCGGAAAGCCATTGGCTTTGGAGAGTGAGAGACATCTGTGGCTGACCCTCTCCTCTTTCAGAGCACGGACGGCCTTGTCCGGGGGTCCGATTCGGCCATTTGCAAAAGCCTCTTTCCAAACACCGCCTTAGATCTGAGGGCAGAAGGGACTCTCCTTGGGCCTCGTTTCTAAATACTAGCAACGTGTGTGAGCTCTGGGAAGCAAAGGCATCTTCCTCGGGGAATCTCCTGGTGCTATTTTGTATTGTCGAAGGCTTTCATGGCCGGAATCACTGGGTTGTTGTAGGTTTTTTCGGGCTATATGGCCATGGTCTAGAGCAGTGATAGGCAACCTTTTGAGCTTGGTGTGTCAAAATTTGCCAAAAACCAGAGCATAACTTGGGTGGGGTGTCAACTTTGAGAGAAAAAAATCATAATTTTGCAATATTTATAGTTTCAATAAGAAAAAATGTCTATTCCATGCTGAGTTATGGAGTGAACAATGCTCAAACATGCAGATGTTAAATTTGTAGGATGAAATTAGATTGGCTCTTATAAGGTGTACGTCTCTGTGTCTGCGTGTCATCAAAAATAGTCATGGGTGTCAGTGCTGACACGCGTGTCATAGGTTCTCCATCATGGTTCTAGAGGCATTCTCTCCTGACCGCATGTCATCAAAAGTAGCCATGAGTGTCAGTGCTGATACGCGTGTCATAGGTTCTCCGTCATGGTTCTAGAGACATTCTCTCCTGTCTGCATGTCATCAAAAGTAGCCATGCGTGTCAGTGCTGATACGCGTGTCATAGGTTCTCCGTCATGGTTCTAGAGGCATTCTCTCCTGACCGCATGTCATCAAAAGTAGCCATGAGTGTCAGTGCTGATACGCGTGTCATAGGTTCTCCGTCATGGTTCTAGAGACATTCTCTCCTGGCCGCATGTCATCAAAAGTAGCCATGCGTGTCAGTGCTGACCCGCATGTCATAGGTTCACCATCATGGTTCTAGAGGCATTCTCTCCTGACCACGTCATCAAAAATAGCCATTTGTGTCAGTGCTGATACGCGTGTCATAGGTTCACCATCATGGTTCTAGAGGCATTCTCTCCTGACCGCATGTCATCAAAAATAGCCATGCGTGTCAGTGCTGACCCGCGTGTCATAGGTTCACCATCATGGTTCTAGAGGCATTCTCTCCTGACGTTTCGCCTGCATCTATGGCAAGCATCCTCAGAGGTAGTGAGGTCTGTTGGAACTAGGAAAAGGGTTTATATATCTGTGGAAAGACCAGGGTGGGACAAAGGACTCTTGTCTGCTGGAGCTAGGTGTGAATGTTTCAACAAAAGTTTGTCAGAGAGTAATGAAGAAGAAGATACCTATTTTCGACTAAGTTTTACAGATACTCAATGGAATATGAATGAGGACAAACTATTTGTCTACATGACTGAATTATGCAAAATTATGGAAACTGAAAATAAGACCACAAAAAGAGGGCTGGGTAAAGAAAATCCTCGACACAATGAATATGGACAAACTTAACATTTCGAATACTATCAAAAATAGAAAATAAACCAATGAAGATGACAGATTGGATTCCAATGAAGACACGGCTAAAAGAAAACAAAGTGAAACTACTAATTTAAGAAATGGAATTAGGTGACATACATGCACACAAAGGATATACATAAAATAAGGACTGATCCATCACCAGGGGAAATCCGAAGAAATGTTCCAACTCAAGAAAGAAGAAATACAAGCAGAAAACCCCACTTTGAGGAGAAATGGAAGAAGATACCCCCTCTTCCCCTCTTTCCCTTCCTCTACTCCCCATCCATATATATATATATATATATATATATATATATATATATATATTCTTTTTTCTCTTCCCCTACTTCCCATCCCTTTCCCTCCCCCCTCGTACATCCCTATGACCACTTCCCCCACTTTTATTGCTGTATAAAGAAAATTTACTAATAAATAAAAAATTGTATATAAAAAAACAAAAGTTTGCCCCAGGCACTGCCAGGTTATCAAATGCTAATCAAGGTGGTCAGTTGAAACATTCACCCCTAGCTTCAGCAGACAAGAATCCTTTGCCCCACCCTGGTCATTCCACAGATATATAAACCCTTTTTTCTAGTTTCCAACAGACCTCACTACCTTTAAGGATGCTTGCCACAGATGGAGGCAAAACATCAGGAGAGAATGCCACTAGACCAGTGATGGGCAACCTTTTGAGCTTGGTGTGTCAAAATTCACCAAAAACCTGGGTGGGGTGTAAACTTCGAGAGAGAAAAACATAATTTTGCAATATTTATAGTTTCAATAAGAAAAATGTCTATTCCAGACTGAGTTATGGAGTGAACAATGCTCAAACGTGCAGATGTTCAATTAGTAGAGCCTTTGACAAATTTAAGGATGGGATTAGATGGGCTCTTATAAGGTGTACTTCTCTGTGTCTGCGTGTCATCAAATATAGCCATGCGTGTCAGTGCTGACACGCGTGTCATAGGTTCACCATCATGGTTCTAGAGGCATTCTCTCCTGACGTTTCGCCTGCATCTGTGGCAAGCATCCTCAGAGGTAGTGAGGTCTGTTGGAACTAGGAAAATGGGTTTATATATCTGTGGAATGACCAGGGTGGGACAGTGACC